TGGGTCCATTACGACCCCGGTGGGTAAATGTTCCGGCCCGTCCCTTGACAAACTCATTATGAATCATTCGGCCCGATTAACCTGGCGGGTGGATTCGTGTCCCGCCACTTATTCTAACTGTCTGCTCAGCCTCCGTTACGCTATAAGAATTTCTCCGTTTTGCAACTGCCGGTTCTGGAGTTCCACCTCCGCTCGCATTTCCGCAAAAGCTGTTTCGAAAGCAGATTCATCAAATATTGCTTTCTTCCTCATGACGCTGAAAATGGGATTGGGATTCATCTTGGTGCACTGGGTAGTCGTCCAAGACACCAAAACCCACCCCCCCTAGAGCTGGACCGTATCTAAAAGGCGCCTGAGGTATTTGTATTTGGGCTGCTTCTGTTTGGGGTGTTTGAAAAGTGTTCTGCAAAATTTCATTCTGCCAGCTGCTAGAAGAGGATTCCGCGCGAAATTGTTGAGGAGGTACATGTTGAGCCGGACCCGATATTTGTAGATTTTGGAAATCCGACGCCCATCCAGAATTCTCTGTATGATTGAAAGCCAAATGTTGTGGTGCTGGTCCCAAAATTGATGCAGGATTTTGGATATCAGAGAGTGGAGCGCCGGAAACACCCGCTTCAAAGTCGTTGAAATCTCGGTCTAGAATACCTTCATTATGATTTTGTGACCGGAAGCCCTACATAATCAGTATTATGCAAATTCAATTATCTGGTTCAAAACTAGGAGGACATACTTGAGCAGGCGAGTGGCGAGAAAGAATACGGTCTTGTTGAAGTGTTCTATCTACAGATGTATGTTTCTGGAAGCTCTGTAGAGCATTCGAAGGACCGCACAGCGCATCTGCCATGGTGCCGTGACTTGGCAAAAAAAATTAAAAAGAAAAACCAAGAAAAACCGTGCTGAACTGAGCGTGCATAGATGGGAGGGAGAAGCAAAAGGAAAAAGGAAAAGAGTCGGGCCTGGCAGGTATGAAGATATCAGATGCCTCTCGCGCCCAGTAACCAAGGTGATGCGATGGATATTATGCCTTCAATAGACATATACGATACCCTAGGGTATGTAAATATATATGCTCCTAGGATCTTGACCCTTTAGTATTGACTGTAAATATCTGTATATCTGGATATGGACAATGATGTCCAAGTAGCGGAAGGAAGAAGAGCGAGGGACAATGAACAGCGGGCCGAGGCAAACTCACGTGGGATTGACGGCTCTGCTCTAGTTCCGAAAAAGGAATTGTTTAGCGCCGCGTCTAGTTGGCGGTAGCCTAGCCGTAATAGCCGCCGACCATTGAACAACAGAGAGTGGCATAACTATACTAGGAGTGTTTATACATTGTGTATTCCAGATTGAAATTCTGCCCTGTCCAGCCATTTTATGTGACATCTAAAATGGTAAATATTTCTTCCCCTCTTGTCCCAGTTTTTATCTGGTGCTTCTCTAACCTCCTCTCTAGGCGCAAGTTATAACGAATTCTGGCCACGATGACATGATTGTATGTCCCTGCTCCCCAGCAAGCCTTATCTTCTCCCCTCCCCCTCGACGATCAGGCAGCCCATCTCTAACATATTGCCCGTCCATAGCATGATGCAGCTTTAGACTATTACGGTCGCAGACTAGCAACATGTTCGTCAGACAAAACAATTAAGATCTTCGAAGTGGAAGGTGACTCCCACAGGCTGCTCGAGACACTGAAAGGGTATAGACCTCGCTTCCCCTAGCTTTGCGACTGATTGACACCACCAATTACTAAAAAAATAAATATTGTGTTTTTTCTTCAAAAGCCACGAGGGAGCAGTATGGTGTATTGCATGGGTTCGTATAGCCTCTTCAGGGAGCCACTTTGCTTTAGACACCCAAACCTAACCCTGTAGCAAGGCACATCCCAAATTCGGAACAATCTTAGCCTCCTCCTCCTACGACGGCAAAGTCCTTATTTGGCGCGAACAAGCTCCTAGCACCGCCTCTGCCTCCACCGCCAGCACCTGGACAAAAGTTTTTGATTTCTCCCTGCACACTGCCTCCGTCAACGGCATCTCCTGGGCTCCGCACGAGAGTGGCTGCCTGCTCGCCTGTGCCTCCTCCGACGGCAACGTCAGCGTACTTGAATTCAGCGACAATAGCTGGACGCACCAACTGTTCCACGCGCATGGCATGGGTGTCAATTCCGTCAGCTGGGCGCCCTCTGCCGCTCCTGGTTCCATCATCAGCACGACCCCAAGCCCCGGACAGCTACGCAGGTTTGTAACGGGCGGGAGTGATAACCTTGTTAAGATATGGGAGTATAAGTATGTTGTCTTGCAATTCTCTATTGATTTATCACAACCTGCATTGCTCAAAGATTGCATACCATG